ACACACACACACACACACACACACACACACACACACACACCTGCACGTCGCAGCTCTTCCTCTTCCTCCCTGTAGTTCTGGGGGTTTTCTTCTGTAGTCTCTCCATCTCTTTCCTCACAGCCTCAAACTCCCTGCTCCTTCCCTCCTCCTCCTCCTCCTGCTGCTGCTGCTGCTGTCTCCCTCTCTTCTCCTGGAGTCTCTGGATCACTTCCTTCAGCTCCTCCACCACCGGCACCTCCACCTCTCTGTTCTCCTTCTCCTCCTCCTTCTCCTCCTCCTCCTCCTCCCTCCTCTGCAGGTCTTCCCTCAGACGCTCCAGCTCTGATGGAAAGAGAAAGTTCAGATTTATCTCCTGATCACATTAATACAACGTTCTCCACTGTTTCAGGTGATGAAGATGATGAAGATACCTGTTCTCAGAGTCTCCGTCTGACTGTGACATTCTTCTACAAGTTTCTCCTTTTCGGACACGACTCGATGCAGCTCTGACACACAGAAAGATTTCAAGACAGATCAGTAGACAGACCATCAAGGACCGATGAGGTTCTGGTTTTCTCTGGAGTCATGAATGAAGAGAAAGACCGCCTTCCTCGACCGCGCTCTACCGGGTTTCTCGACCATACTCTACGGTAGATTGTATTGTTTTTCATCTTCTCACCTTCCTTCTCCCTGTCCTGATTCCTCCTCCTTTCCTCCTCTGATTTCTCCATCTCCTCCAGTCTCCCTCGCAGAGCTCCGCCCTCAGACTCAAGCTCCTTCTTTAGGCTCTGGAGCCGACTGGTGAATTCTGCTTTCTGATTGGCTAACTCCTCACTGAGTTCAACACACCTGTTTTCACTGTAGGATGAGGACAGGAGATTAATATATTTGAAATTAACTGATACTTAACCAGCTGCTTACTTGTCACCTGTTGGATCTGTTGTATATTCATCAATAAAACCTGATTGAAGACAATATTGATGAGCCCATCAAACTCCTCCTGTCTACCTGTGCGTCAGAGATTCCTCCAGTTGGCTTTTCCCTCTCTGCAGATCTTGGATCTGTTGGGATTTCTGAGATGATCTCATCAGCGCTGCCTGGCTCTCCTTCTTCAGCTCCTCCATGGCGGCGTGGAAAACACCGCTGCTGCTGCTCCGCCCCTCCTCCTCCTGAAACAATCAGTCAACACTGTTGCTTTACTCATTAACTCCTCAACTGATCAATCCAAAGCCATAAAAACAATCAATCGTCAGTTACTGTAAACAGAGAAACAAAAGAACAGGAAGAACCTTGACTTCCTGCTTCAGACGCTTCACTTCTTTTGTCAGAACATTGATGCTGTCGGCCTTCTCCTCTGATTGGCTCTCCAGGTCCTGGAGGCGGGTCTTTGTAATGTCCAGCTGCTGCGATAAGCTGTCAGACCTGCCAGTCTGCTCCTTGAGCTTCGTCTGGGGACCGGTCACCTGGAAATAAAAAAATAAGCAAACCTTTGTTGTTATAATTTTGATAGACCTCTTTGTATTAATATTGGATTGTACGGGTGTACCTAATAAAGTGACCACTCGTACCTCCGTCTGGAGCTGGAAGATGCCGTTAACAAGAGCTTTGTTCTCCTTCGTCAGTCTGGATGTTTCCATCTGCTCCGACTCCAGAGACAGAAACACAGACGCACAGTTTGGACGCTCACCCAGATCTACGAGGGGGGAGGAGAGGAGGAGAGGAGGAGGGAGGAGAGGAGGAGGAGGAGGGAGGAGTGGAGGACAGAAAGAGCCATAGTGAGAGAAGAAGGGCTAAAGCTGCAGGAAATCTGTGCAAGTCACAACATATCTGAGTGCAAGTAAATAGTTTGAGGAGAAAGCAAAGCAAATCCAAGAGCAAGCAGGAACTATTTGAGTGTGAAGCCAAGGACACATGACGACCAGCAGAGCCGGGGATCGAACATCCGACCCTCCGATTGCTTAACGGCTGAGCCACAGTCGGCCCACGCTGTCACGTGATGAGGTCCACTAGGTGTCCTGTAGATTCAGCTCTCCTACCCGTCAGCTCCTGCACCTTCTGCTCCAGAGCAACCTGCTCCTCCTTCAGCTTCTCCACCTCCTCCTCTCGTCTCCTCAGCTCCTCCTCTAGGCCCCTCTTCCTCTCCTCCCTCTTCCTCAGCTCGACAGTGGTTTCCTCCTTCTTATCGTTTTCCTCCTGCAGCCTCCAGATCTCCTCCTCCAGCACTGAGGAGACGGAGGAGAAGAAAGAAAGACTTTAGAGTTAAAATAATAAGGAGTAAACCCCCATCCTTTCATCTCCTCCTCCTCCTCCTCTCACCTCTCCTCTTTGCCGGTCCTCTTTCCTCTTCTTCCTCCAGAGCTTCACGCTGGCATTTCCTGTTCTCCTCCTTCTCCTCCTCTCCTCTCGTCGTCCTCAGAAGCTCCACCAGAGCCCTCTGAAAGACCAGGATGTGGTTCATTAGTCACACTGCTTTCAATGGTCTGGGGAAGATCATATCTTTTAATAATGAACTTATTCTGGGAAATCATTCAGCAGCAGATGAACAGATTGTTAATCCTCATGATCACATGAGCTCTCTGAGCCACAGGTCCACATGACTTCATGTGAGGTTTGATTAAATAACAGGAGAATATATATTTCATATGTTTATGATACTTCATAACATTGGCAGGATAGAAAAGCATGTTTTCTATAAATATAAATATCCAGAACGACCCTGTTTATCAGCCAGAAGCTGTAAAAAAAAAAAAAAACGTCATTATCGTCAGAATAACATTTTTCCGACGGTCCTTGAACACATCATGTGCAACAAAGGCTTCGGTCAGAAGAAGCAAAACAAAACTTAAAATACTGAAATACTGAAAGTTCAGAACCGATCAGTGCTGCTCGCCAACATACGAACAACACCAAAGAAACAAAAACTATAGAATATAGTGGAGGATGAGTTTCAGACATTATTATTATCATCATCATTATTTAGGACATAATCATTATTGTAATAGTATTATTATTATCTGTGACATTAACGTGTAACAGTGTTTACGTCGGCGTTGCTCTCGTTCTTCAGCTTGTTGATGACGTCGTCTTTCCGCTGACTCATCTCCATCAGCTCTGATAACTTGTGTTGCTGCTGCTTCAGACTCTGGAAAACAAAATAACTTTATTGATAAAACACATTGTGAACAACGTGACAAACGTCATTTCAGATGCACCAAAGCACAGCAGACACCACAGAAGAAGACACTACCTCCTTGGCCTCCAGCAGTTGGTCATGTGAGCTCTGCTTCTCCAATCGCAGCGCCTCCAGCTCTGCACGGAGGACAACGTTACATCAACAACAACCAGGAGCTAAGACCTGAGCGTGTGTGTGTGTGTACCTGCAGTGTGTGTGTATCTGGAGTGTGTGTGTGTACCTGCAGTGTGTGTGTACCTGCAGCGTGTGTGTACCTGCAGTGTGTGTGTGTACCTGCAGTGTGTGGGTGTACCTGCAGAGTGTGTGTGTGTACCTGCAGTGTGTGTGTGTGTGTACCTGCAGAGTGTGTGTACCTGCAGTGTGTGTGTGT